TGGAACAGTAAGCTGAATTCTAGCTTTTCGGCTTGTCTAGCTCTGCACACTGGACTCGCTGAGGTCTTCACAGGCTTAATTATTAATGCCTGCACCTGCTTCACCCACCAACCAGGTTCAGCTGAGAAACTAGACATAAGCCCTATTCGAGCTGGATTAGTATTACATCAGGACGTGCTGTGATTTGAGTGATTACCGACAAGATCTGTGATTTTAATCCAGTACAAATCTGCCATGTCCAGAATTTTTACTGTCTGTTCAGTAATAATTCTGGAGTGAATCACCTCCCATAATTAACCAAACTCAGAGCTCCTCAGTAACAGAAGTCCTGCTCCAATCGACATCTCAATAACGTAAAAACAACCAGCTAATGAAACAACGGACAAGGCTGAAGTCGGCTTCTTATTCGCCAGATCCAGATTCTTGTTCAAATTTTTCTGTTCCACCTTAAATGTTGCAGTGATTACTGAGCTGCCAGAATGTAACTGCTGCACCGTTTAAGGTGGAACCAGGAAAATTAGAATAAGAAGCCGACTTCAGCCTTGTAGAAAGCAGCGTGACCTGAATACGAGGCTAACAGCTTCAATGGAGCTTGATTTGACCCAGTTCATTAATCAAGTTCATGATGAGACGACCGAAATCCACAAAAAGTGACACTTTCTATGAGGCCTGTATTCATAAATAGTTATAAATGTGCTTATTAACTTTAATTATGCCTCGTAAGGCTTTAATAATGTATTATAAACATTTTTTGATTACTTCTAAAAATGTTGTGTCACTACCACTAATACAACTAAAGGCATAAATTATTGTTTAGAATTATTATAATTATATTAATTATAATTCAGCAGCAAATAATATATGCATTGTCCATATGTTGTGCACTCCTAATTAGAATGTTGCTCAGCTGAGGAACTGGACCAAGTAACACTTTCTATGAAGCCTGTGTTCATAAATGCCCTTCAAATGCATATGATCTGTGCATTATTATAAACAATTATAAAAACATTATGAACATTTTAAAATGCCATCACTGAGTGCTTGTAGTAAAGCGTCTGATGTTCTAGGTTATGTCTGAATGTTAAATGTTGTACTGTTTGTGTCTGTCAGTGTGCGCTCTATATTATACTGTATGTCTTTTATTGCAGGAATGCACTTTCAATTTGCTTTTCATCTGACCCCTCAGGGCTTCCATAGTTTGTCTTTTGTTAAAATTTCATGATGAATAGACAAACAAAAATGGTCCATTATTGCAGCGATGACATGACTTTATCCTTCTTTTCACGAAAATGCTCCTTTTTTACCTTTCAACCATAACCACTCACATTTATAGCATTTTTTAGCAGACGTTCTTATTCAGAGCGACTTACAACGTGATCCTTTTGCACAGGTAGGTGAAGGGAGTGTTAGGAGTCTTGCTCAAGGACTGTTATTGGTATAGTGCAGGGTGTTTACCCAGGTGGGGATTGAACCCCAGTCTACAGCGTAGGAGGGAGAGGTGTTACCCACTACACTACATCAGCACTGTAACCTGCTGCCCTCGTCATGTGAAGCTGATAACTTACTCTAACTTGGACGTCACTTCGAAATTGTAAATAGAAATTAGACAGCGGAAATAGGTAATAATTTTTTTATTGTCATCATTATCAATAATGTCGAACGTGCGCTACACACTTCATATGTGGACCTCGGGATAAAACATTAAATACATCGTAGTGTGTGAAGTATTTTAACAGTTGGCATCTTGCTGTGTTTTGTTCTGTATGTTGTATGTATCAATAATGTTTTATGGAAAGTGTCTTTGATCCTTTTACCAGCCCAGAGACTGCAGCTGAAAATGATTGTCCTTAACATGAACAGTAAAGGTTATGGCCACATTTAACAGAGAGAGATTCTGGGGTTGCACTGATACTGTATCGATATCGGTGCTGATGCTGGCACTTAAACGCAGTATCGCTATCGTGATGAGGATTCCACACAGCAACTTCTGACATACATGCACCACTCAGCGACCTGTGAGGTGTGGGTCGACAAGCAGCAGCAAACATGCTCATGGCAGAAGTAATGTAAATATTACTTTATTCCCTTTAGCTACACTGCAGAAATGGCATGTTGTCAAGTCAAATGATCCTAAATCTAGTCCTTTTTACTTGTTGTAGTCATTTAATAAATGATCTCACTATATTGACAGATAACTTTGCTTGTTGTAAGAAATTTGCTTGAAACCAGCAACAATATCTGCCAACATCATAAATAAATAATATAATTACATAATATACACCTAAATAAATAATATACAGGTAAACAAAATAAAGATAATAAAAAATACACAGTTTTTACCAGAATAAAATATTTAAAAAGTGCAATTATATAAATACGAGGACTTATAATCTAGTTATGTTAGATAGAGTTAGTATTGGTATTGGAAAGGAAGAAGTGGTATCGGTGCATCCCTAATGCGTCCCCCCAGTTTGACCCACTCTAGATTACCTCAGCTGCATGTCTGTAGAGAGGAGAGCCCGCGTGAGTGAGGAGTGGACAGGTTCTTCAGGTAAAGACCAGAACTGGCCGCCCTGCCTCCTTCCTAACACTCATTCACTCACATAGTAGAGCTGAGAGTGGAAAATGGGCACAGCGCTGCTGACCTACAGAGCTAATTCATGCTGTGAGTGAAGGAGAGGGGAAACAGAGAGAGAGAGGGCGAGAGAGAGAGAGATAAATGGCCGTGGTGCCTGTGGGTTGTGGTTACACAGTAAACGTCCACTTGTCCGGGCCATTAAGACAGCAGTCTCTCCTAATAAGCTCATGTTCATGCTGACATGCTAAGGAAAACACTATTTACTAGTTGATTTGTGTCGGTGCCGTTAGCCTTCGCCCCGCTTTGCCAAACCTTCACAAATAAACCCGGTTCAGCTCCGGACTCAGAGGCAGGTCTGTTTCTCAGCGCTAATAGCAAGTGTCACATGTACGGCTCTGTCTCTCTTCCAGCGCCGTGTTCAGGCTCTAACGCTGATGAAAACGCGGTGCTACGGCCTGCTGTGCCCAAACGCTGGACTCAGGGTGAAATATACGGCGGGTTTGGAGAGTAATTGCTTTCCTGTGTTGACTTTCTCCTGCGGTGTTGGCTTCACTCTGTCCGAAAGTCAAGCTGCTGAACTTCCACCCACTCTGGCCTACATCGCTATGGAAATGTCACGTATTAGTGTAGCCAGCCACTGTGGTGAATGACGGAGGGCCACCATGATTTCATACTGACCTGCACGTAACATGTTCCATTAAAGTCCCATTACAGAGACGACCCAAAAATCCATTAGGAAATCAGAACAGGCCTGTCAGGACCATCAAATTTCAGTTGATGTTGAACGTCTAAATAAATAACTGTAGCTCACAAAAGAGTTGTCTTCTTTGATCATTGTATGAAGCTATTAAAGAACAAGTCTGCAGTGGACAAACTGACCAGCTGTCAATTTCTAATACTTGCTCCAACTGGACAAACACCAAATATACAAACATCAAATAAACAACCGCCGTCCTCTAAAGGCATCATAAACAAACATCAGATAAACATCAAATAAACAAAGATCAAATAAACAACCGCCGCCCTCTAAAGGCGTAATTAACAAACATCAGATAAACATCAAATAAACAAACATCAAATAAACAACCGCGCCCTCTAAAGGCGTAATTAACAAACATCAAATAAACATCAAACAAACAAACGTTGCTCAGCGCAGCCCTCTAAAGGCGTCATTAGCAACCATCAAACGAACAAACGTCGCTCAGCGCCGCCCTCTAAAGGCGTCATTAACAACCATCAAACGAACAAACGTCGCTCAGCGCCGCCCTCTAAAGGCGTCATTAACAACCATCAAATAAACAAACGTCGCTCAGCGCCGCCCTCTAAAGGCGTCATTAACAACCATCAAACGAACAAACGTCGCTCAGTGCCGCCCTCTAAAGGCGTCATTAACAACCATCAAACAAACATCGCTCAGCGCCGCCCTCTAAAGACGTCATTAACAACCATTAAACAAACATCGCTCAGCGCCGCCCTCTAAAGGCGTCATTAACAACCATCAAACAAACATCGCTCAGCGCCGCCCTCTAAAGACGTCATTAACAACCATCAAACGAACAAACGTCGCTCAGCGCCGCCCTCTAAAGGCGTCATTAACAACCATCAAACGAACAAACGTCGCTCAGTGTCGCCCTCTTAAGGCGTCATTAACAACCATCAAACAAACATCGCTCAGCGCCGCCCTCTAAAGGCGTCATTAACAACCATCAAACAAACATTGCTCAGCGCCGCCCTCTAAAGGCGTCATTAACAACCATCAAACAAACATCGCTCAGCGCCGCCCTCTAAAGGCATCATTAACAACCATCAAACAAACGTCGCTCAGCGCCGCCCTCTAAAGGCGTCATTAACAACCATCAAACAAACGTCGCTCAGCGCCGCCCTCTAAAGGCGTCATTAACAACCATCAAACAAACGTCGCTCAGCGCCGCCCTCTAAAGACGTCATTAACAACCATCAAACGAACAAACGTCGCTCAGCGCCGCCCTCTAAAGGCATCATAACACTCTCTATTGCTATTTTTGCCGTATGGTACGGCACATTACAGTTACAAATCTGAACCATGTTGTTTCTCATGCACGTCTGGTGTTAACACTAGCAACACTGGAGGAACTTCAGGTTCTGATTTATCTTATATAGGGTCTGGTAACCACATCATGCTCCATCGCCCGGTGGAAAAACTCCATAAAGTTACTAATCAGAAGTTAGAAACTTTGTTGTTTTTGTAAGACCCATGATGTGTTTCTGCTTTCCTTTATTGATGTGCATTTTCACCCTATTCACAATTTTATTTGTTGTGAGAGTTTAAATAACTGTTGCTAATAATTGTGCTTAGCTCGAATAATTGCAATCAGATGATTACTTAATAATTGTAACCTCAATTGCCGTAAATGAGTAAGGAGATTTTTGTCTTCCTCTTCAGGGTGGTCAACACTCTGACAATGGCAGGAAGTCCCCAGACAGCCAGCAGGAACCTCAGCCAAACCCGGCGGAGAGCCTGGGGTACGTGTGTGCCAGCGATGCCAGTTCCAGGTTCCAGACGCAGGGCAAAAGGTGACGTGTCGCTCAGCTGAGCATCCCCCCGGTTTTCCTGAACAAATGTCTTTCTGAAAGCGACAATTAGCGAAACCTGCTGAAAGGAAGTGCTGTGTTTTTGCTTTGCAGTGGATCTCCGCCGAAGTCCAGCAGCCACCCACAGCTCCATGTGCAGCTCCAGAAATTCACTGTGTCTGCAGACAAGGTGCCCATTTATGACTCCATCATTACACAACTCTTACACAACCAGTAACACTTAAAAAAAACTCAGCAAGCTCTCATCTGTCCAGTCCAGCCAGAGGAAAATCCCACTGAGATCTTCCAAATAGGTGTAGCCTCCTCCCATCTGTTTAGCTCACTTCATCCAAACGGATCCAGTAGGTTCCACCAAGTTAAGGTCATGGAAGTGAAGAGAAGACAGAATGGCTCACTGGCTAACTGAAGGCCTATTTAGGCCTGTAAATGAAAGAATTAAACTGATTTTTCAAAATTTTCTGCATAATTAAGATGTAAACAGAGCGGTTCAGAGCGGTTCAGAGTGGTTTGGTATGAAACATTTCGTTCTAGATAAACTTACAGAACTGTTCACAGTGGTGGTGATAGGAACCAGACGTCCACCTCTAATAGCTCCCTCACAGAAAGTTCCTACATGAAATGGTTATGAATTCACTGCCTGATGACTGAGACACTGTTTTATGATAGTTTAGATCAGGGATACATGCAGGATGCTGTGAGGCAAAATAGTCCCCAAATAAAATGTATTATTTTAAATTTATTACTATTTTACCTTCATCAAAAACTCAAAAGACGTGTAGTAGGGCTGAAAGATTAATAATTCTCCATCAAAATCGCAATTTAGGAGAGTGCAATTTTTAAATCGATTTTTAAATCATTTTTTTAATTAAAGCCTGCATTGGTCTCAAGTTTTAAGTGGGGAAGTTTAACCTATTAACAGAGCTTGTGAGCTGCCTGTAGAGTTAGACCAATCAGAGACAACCAAACCTCCATTTGTTGTGACATCACAACTCCAACTTACTGGCAGTCTTGCACTCTTCATTCAAAGTCAAACTTCAAGCCAGAAAAAGTGGATTTTCTGAACTTCGTAGCCCAAAAAATCCTTATGGCTCTCAGTAATAATCACAATAAGACTGCAGTTGCAATATCAGTCCGAATTAGTCAATTCGATATTTTTGTTCAGTCCTAATGTGTAGGTTCACTGGTGGTTCTGGATAGTAAATAAAATGTCTATATCTGTGTTGTAGTCATGGCGACCCCTGGTTCCTATCACCACCTCTGTAAAGACATCTGAACCATTTCACACCAAACCTCTCTGAATCTCTCTGTTTATATCTCAAATGTTCTTTAAGCACTGCAACTAAAATTCAGGCTGATTTGTAAATCATCTGTACAGTGTAAATAATCAATTTGGCTCCGATTAAACATTTAATGTAGTGTTACAGTCTGTCAAAAAGACAGCATTTATTTGTGTGTGGTCGATTTTAAAACCTGACGCGTTTTTTCACCCTAAAAACGGACTTGATTTGAATAGGCTTTGAGATCTCCATCATGTTCGTGTAAACGTGTACGTTTAATATGACAAACATACACCAGCGTTAGCTGCTGTAGCTGCTGACTTCCAGGAATTGTCCTCACCCTGAGAGTCCGGGCCAACAGTGAACACATCTGACTGGAGGAGCCAGCAATTCAGGAGCTGGACAGACCGAGAGAGACTCTCTCTCTCTCTCTCTCTCTGTCTCTCTCTCTCTCTCTCCCTCTCTCTCTCTCTGTGCTACACAAGCCTTGTGTTCCCACTTCCTTGTGGAATCTCACACCTCATCTCATCCTTCTCCTTCATCCCCTAGACTCTCTCCTGGCTCAAAGACAGCGTCACCATGGCAACACATGTCTGCAGCGGTGTAGGAGGGCCAGGCAGCTACGAGATAGCCAAGAGGTACCAAGCGTCTCTGGAACAGGATATCCTGTCCAACAAAGCCCGCATAGAGCTGGTCAAGAAGGTGAGGTCAAATGGAAACTTTAGCTCTTTAAGAGTCTACTGAACGGTGACCGGTGAACTGGTCCAGAGATGCTTAGTCATTTTATTGCGTCAAGTCAAGTCTCTGAGGTGTAAGTCTGAGTTGAGTCTCTGAGGTGTGAGTCTGAGTTGAGTCTCTGAGGTGTGAGTCTGAGTCCAGTCTTTGAGGTGTGAGTCTGAGTCTTGAGTTCCTGAGGTGTGAGTCTGAGTCTTGAGTTCCTGAGGTGTGAGTCTGAGTTGAGTCTCAGAGGTGTGAGTCTGAGTTGAGTCTCTGAGGTGTGAGTCTGAGTCCAGTCTCTGAGGTGTGAGTCTGAGTCTTGAGTTCCTGAGGTGTGAGTCTGAGTCTTGAGTTCCTGAGGTGTGAGTCTGAGTTGAGTCTCTGAGGTGTGAGTCTGAGTCCAGTCTCTGAGACTTGGAGTCTGAGTCCAGTTCTCTGAGGTGTGAATCTGAGTTAAGTCTCTGAGGTGTGAGTCTGAGTTGAGTCTCTGAGGTGTGAGTCTGAGTCCAGTCTCTGAGGTGTGAGTCTGAGTTGAGTCTCTGAGGTGTGAATCTGAGTTAAGTCTCTGAGGTGTGAGTCTGAGTCCAGTCTCTGAGGTGTGAATCTGAGTTAAGTCTCTGAGGTGTGAGTCTGAGTCCAGTCTCTGATGTGTGAGTCTGAGTTGAGTCTCTGAGGTGTGAGTCTGAGTCTTGAGTTTCTGAGGTGTGAGTCTGAGTTGAGTCTCTGAGGTGTGAGTCTGAGTCCAGTCTCTGAGACTTGGAGTCTGAGTCCAGTTCTCTGAGGTGTGAATCTGAGTTAAGTCTCTGAGGTGTGAGTCTGAGTTGAGTCTCTGAGGTGTGAGTCTGAGTTGAGTCTCTGAGGTGTGAGTCTGAGTCCAGTCTCTGAGGTGTGAGTCTGAGTTGAGTCTCTGAGGTGTGAATCTGAGTTAAGTCTCTGAGGTGTGAGTCTGAGTCCAGTCTCTGAGGTGTGAATCTGAGTTAAGTCTCTGAGGTGTGAGTCTGAGTTGAGTCTCTGAGGTGTGAGTCTGAGTTGAGTCTCTGAGGTGTGAGTCTGAGTCCAGTCTTTGAGGTGTGAGTCTGAGTCTTGAGTTCCTGAGGTGTGAGTCTGAGTCTTGAGTTCCTGAGGTGTGAGTCTGAGTTGAGTCTCAGAGGTGTGAGTCTGAGTTGAGTCTCTGAGGTGTGAGTCTGAGTCCAGTCTCTGAGGTGTGAGTCTGAGTCTTGAGTTCCTGAGGTGTGAGTCTGAGTCTTGAGTTCCTGAGGTGTGAGTCTGAGTTGAGTCTCTGAGGTGTGAGTCTGAGTCCAGTCTCTGAGACTTGGAGTCTGAGTCCAGTTCTCTGAGGTGTGAATCTGAGTTAAGTCTCTGAGGTGTGAGTCTGAGTTGAGTCTCTGAGGTGTGAGTCTGAGTCCAGTCTCTGAGGTGTGAGTCTGAGTTGAGTCTCTGAGGTGTGAATCTGAGTTAAGTCTCTGAGGTGTGAGTCTGAGTCCAGTCTCTGAGGTGTGAATCTGAGTTAAGTCTCTGAGGTGTGAGTCTGAGTCCAGTCTCTGATGTGTGAGTCTGAGTTGAGTCTCTGAGGTGTGAGTCTGAGTCTTGAGTTTCTGAGGTGTGAGTCTGAGTTGAGTCTCTGAGGTGTGAGTCTGAGTCCAGTCTCTGAGACTTGGAGTCTGAGTCCAGTTCTCTGAGGTGTGAATCTGAGTTAAGTCTCTGAGGTGTGAGTCTGAGTTGAGTCTCTGAGGTGTGAGTCTGAGTTGAGTCTCTGAGGTGTGAGTCTGAGTCCAGTCTCTGAGGTGTGAGTCTGAGTTGAGTCTCTGAGGTGTGAATCTGAGTTAAGTCTCTGAGGTGTGAGTCTGAGTCCAGTCTCTGAGGTGTGAATCTGAGTTAAGTCTCTGAGGTGTGAGTCTGAGTCCAGTCTCTGATGTGTGAGTCTGAGTTGAGTCTCTGAGGTGTGAGTCTGAGTCTTGAGTTTCTGAGGTGTGAGTCTGAGTCTTGAGTTCCTGAGGTTTGAGTCTGAGTTGAGTCTCTGAGGTGTGAGTCTGAGTCGAGTCTCTGAGGTGTGAGTCTAAGTCTTGAGTCTCTGAGGTGTGAGTCTGAGTCTTGAGTCTCTGAGGTGTGAGTCTGAGTCTTGAGTTCCTGAGGTGTGAGCCCGAGTCTTGAGTCTCTGAGGTGTGAGTCTGAGTCTTGAGTCTCTGAGGTGTGAGTCCGAGTCTTGAGTTCCTGAGGTGCAAGTCTGAGTCAAATCTCGAGTCTCTGAGACTTGAAGTCTTGAAGTCGAGTCTCTGAGGTGTGAGTCCGAGACGAGTCTCTAGGTATGAGTCTGAGTTGAGTCTTGATTCTGTGAGGTGTTAGTCCGAGTCGAATCTTGAGTCTATGAGGTGTGAGTCTGAGTCGAGTCTGTAAGGTGTGATTCTGAGTCAAGTCTTGAGCCTTTGAGATGTAAATGAAAGTCTTGACTGTCTGATGTGTGAGTCCGAGTTGAGTCTCGAGTCTGGGGTGTGAATCCGAGTCTCAAGTGTCTAAGGTGTGAGTCAAACCTTCTGAAGGACCGAACTGAGGCGCTCTGTGCAGTAGGTCTCTAACGTACTAAATCTTCAGCTAGATTAACTGAAAAATTCAGTAGTTAGCTAGCTAGCATACTTACTGTCTGAGTCACTGACTCGAGTCCAAATCACTGTCCTGCTGTTCTTGCTCAGTCACATTCACAGGTTCTAAGCCAGTGTTTGTTGTTTAACCCCAGGAGGGTCACAGCCTGGTCCGAGCTCAGCACCCCGGCAGTGCCAAGATCCAGGAGTTCCTCAGCCAGCTGGAGGTTCTGTGGGAGGAGCTCAAAAGACGCCACCAGAAGAACGCGGTGGTCCTGCAGGCCTCGGAGGAGCTCAACTACAGGGTAGGTTTGTGGACAGGTAAAGGGATGAATGGAGGCCTGATGTAAACTGCTCAGAATTCAAGACACCAGCTGCCACTTTGTTTTTTGTCTTAAATTGGGACTCTGTGAGAGCTTAGGGACCGTCAACAAATTACATTACATATAACAATAGCAATCCTTGGGGTCCAAGCACCATGCACCATTATGTAGACAGCAGAACACAAACGAATCCCCCCATTAATAACAGATGTGAGTTTTGAAAAGATGATTTCTAAAATCTGTTCACAGTGACCTTTTGGTATAGTAAGTAAGCAATGGGCACTATTTTTAGCTAGTTTTTTGTTATAACTAAACTGAAAGAAGTAGCTTTACTGAGTCAGGTGGAAAAACACACTAAACTATGGTGAGTGTGCGCTGCTATGAGTCGCCCTGTAAAGCCTGAAATAGTCTTTTAAAATTTCAGAGCTGCTGGGAGAATTTCACAGGACTTTTTTTACATCACATTGTACGTCTTTACATATTAACGTCACACGCAAAAGCTGAAAAAGAAGGTGCGGCTTGATGTTTAGGTCTCAAATTATCTCAAAAACATCATACGATAAGATATGATGACAGTAGTAGAAAATGCACACACATTCTCAGAAGACTTGTGCTAGCCCTCACCTTCCTTCCTCACTATCCTAATTTTAAGGTTAAAAACGCTAAATTCTTCTCCTGGGACCGATGCTGCTGGACACTCATACAGGGGTCAGTCTTCTGAACTTTTTTAACTGGTCTGGGGTTTTTTATGTGTGTACATCATTTTAGCATTTTGTTGTAAACTTTTGTTTTTCCACTTTTTCTGGCATGAAGCTTGAACAACACTGAGTGTGCCAGACTACCAGTTAGTTGTGATGGTTGTGATGTCACATATACAGAACATGTGTGATTTGCTGCTTCTGATTGGTCCAGTTCATCTACAGGCAGTTCACAAGCTCTGTGTTATTGGGTTAAATTGTATTGTAATGTATTCTACAATAAAAATTGCAGCTCTTGCACTCTTTCAAATTCCTAGTTCCCAGCAGAAACTGCAACGCCTGAGTCCTCAGGAGGCTGTGTGTAGCTCAGTGAAACAATGGTTATTACTGGAAACATCATTGTTTTGTCAGTCAGAATGACACAGATGTGTACAAGCGTTGATTCTCTGTCTCTCTTCAGGCAGTCAGGGTGCTGCAGGCGCTGGGCAGTCTGGAGGCCTGGCTGGAGGCTGCAGAGCTGTCCATCAAGCAGGCGTCTTTGGCAGGAGACCCAGAGTCGGTGAGTGTGGCCGAGCGAGAGAGCTGTCTGCTGGAGAGAGAGCTGGAAACACGCAGCCTGGAGCTTCACAACCTCAAGCAGGAGGTGGAGGCCCTCTGCAGCCAGAGACACCTCCGCACCCAGCTGCTCCCCACGCGCATGGAGGAGGTGGAGAAGAAGTACGTAACCCTGACGAGAACTGTTAATCACGCTGCGGCGACAGTTAATCTTTCAGTTTGTCGTTAAGCTTGTTAGTTGTTGGTCTTTTTGCCGCTGTGTGTGGCGTTTCACACCATGCAGGTGTGACTAGTGAGCATATGCAGGGAAGGTACAGTAAACAGGCTGCGAACAGTAAATAGAAGGAAACTTATTCATAGGACGAAGGAGGGTAATATTGACTCACCTGGTAAATGTCTTGCTGTCACCATCCCCCAGCATGTCTTATTAAAGAGCCTGTATCTTGTATTTTATAGTTTTTTTGAGTTTTGTACTGAAAACAATCATATTTCCATGATTTTCCAACAACTCTTTATCCCTTAGAACTAAAAAGGCTGTTTTTGCTACCACATTTAAGACTGATATACAGTTCAGTGTCCAAAAAAGTTGAGATGCTGTGCAAAAATGTAAATAAGAACAGAATGTAATGATGTGCAAATCATCTAAACCCAATATTTAATTGAAAATATTACAAATTCAACATATCAAATGTTGAAACTGACCCTTTTTGAATGTGATGCATTTTGATAACTTGACAGTTCTCTGGCCAAGGCTACAGCACTCCTTATAACTTCAGCGTGAATGGGTGGAGCTAAACGGTTCGAGGCTGAATGTTCAGATATATGTAAATGTATTCACAAAAAAATGTATTATAAAACAGTCTGACTTTGCAGCTCAGTTTTCATGTATAGACTAGAGAGAGTGAATAATATGATTTGAAACCTTAACACTGAGTGTGTTTACATGCACATAATAATCTGATAACTGCAGAAAATCAGATTGTGTCAGTAACTGGTACAGTGTGTTTACATGTACATAATAATCTGATAACTGCAGAAAATCAGATTGTGTCAGTAACTGGTACAGTGTGTTTACATGCACATAATAATCTGATAACTGCAGAAAATCAGATTGTGTCAGTAACTGGTTCAGTGTGTTTACACTCAATAATCTGATAACTGCAGATCGGATTGTGTCAGTAACTGGTTCAGTGTGTTTACACTCAATAATCTGATAACTGCAGAAAATCAGATTACTGACTCAAATCTAGCCTCTTTATCAGATTTCTTAATCAGATTTACAGACCTTAATCTGATTACTTAATAATCTAATAAAATAACTGCAGAAATCTCATTATGATCGGGTTATTAAGTGCACGTAATCAAACTGTTTACATACATGTTCACGTTACCATCAAAAAGTGAGAATATTTATGTTTTCCATGATTTGGGCCCATAAATTCATTCACAACTTATTCAGAAGTTTTCTGCCTAAATTATGATTCCCCCTCGGTTACCCTCCAGCAGATACCCTCACATGCTGTGTGCACGTCCAGTAGTTTCAGGGTCACGTTGTCTGCGTAGGTGGAGCAGATTTCGTGTTCATGAAAGGTCACTGACCAGAAGGTTGTGGTTAAAGCCATATGATGCTGGCCGCTTTATGAGGCGCACCTCTGTCTATAAACCAGCTCAGACTCAGTAAAAGACACCAAGCCTACCAAAGAAAACAAAGAGAGGAAAGAGCTGCATTTATGAGTTTCTGGTGCGAAGGGGAAACTGGTACTAGAGGGGAAACACATGGAGGACTGTTTTAAGGGTGGGGTGCTGTTTGGGCAGGTAGAAGCTCTCTAAAAAGCTGCTGGATTATTCAGCTTCTAAAAGTGCTGTATTTCATTGATCTTTCATTTGTACCACTCTTCATTATGCAAACTTCATTATGATTATGATTTCTCTGTGCCACTCAGAGAACATTTCATTTACTAAATCAAACTGATTTAAAGGGAAATTCCACTGATTTTTCAAAATTTCTGCATAATTCAGTGACTGAGATGTCGTTCAGAGAGATTCAGAGTGGTTTGGTGTGAAATGGTTCAGACGTCTTTACAGTGGTGGTGATAGGAACCAGGGGTCGCCATGACTACAACACAAATATAGACATTTTATTTACTATCCAGAACCACCAGTGAACCTACACGAGTCTTCTGAGTTTATATGGAATGTTGATGATGGAAAATAGTGGAAAAGTTTTCTTTGGGGACTATTTTGCCTCACAACACCCTGCATGTATCCCTCCACCACGAATGGATTTTAAAAAACACATTTTAGGCCAAAACCTTCTCAAAACTGTCATAAAACAAAGCTGTCTGTGAGGGAGACAGGGGCATTTCTAGGATTTGAAAACATCTGTGGCTGGTAAGGACATCCAAAGTTTTTTTTATATATTTTGATATTTACAAGCAATATTTTCACACCACTTTAAGCTCACCATGTAGGACACTTACCAGCCTAGATCAAACCTTGTTTATTAAGAAATCATATTACCTGGTAACGTGGGCAGCTGAGACGTAGCTGTCTTCTCATGTTCTACGCTCTGTAGGCTGAACATCAGCTTCATAAACAGAGGATTTTGTCTGCCGAGCACATAAACCTAACAGAATTTATGAATGAATTTATGGATTGATTCCTGTCCATATTTAGGAGCTGGATGACCCAGTAAATGTTTTTTAGAATAAGGTCAAGTTGTGCACCAGTTTGTGGTGCCTTATTCTTCAGATGTTGTCGGGCACAGCCACGCTGTACATAAGCAAAGCCTTCCTCTGTTCTAACAGCTCGTTCTCCGACTCGCAGCTCACTCTCAGCTCTTTCTCTCTCCGGAGTCACCTTTAGGACTTTTCTCAGCAGAGGTAGCAGGTACACTCTGAAAAAGATGGTTCTTGAAGGGTTCTTTAGTAAAGACAATGGTTCTATATAGACCCATAACCACTGCGTTTGCAAAATAGCAGAACACTTTGTGGTGCTATGTAGAACCTACACAATCTCTGTCAATCTGAAGAACGATTTCACCATGCAGAGAACCTTTAAAGCATGCAAATGGTTCTTTCAGTGTTAATGGTTCTACATAGAACCCTTGTATTTACTAACCTTCGAAGAACCATCTTTTTTAAAGTGCAGCATTTCACACCAAACCACTCTGAACGACTTTTTGTTTACATCTTAACCAGTTAATTATGCAGAAATTTGAGAAATGGGTGGAACTTCTTAAATTCCTGAGGTCCACTCGTGATGTGTGTTAATGCCGACAGCTGATCAGTGTTGACATTTCAGTCACTGGTGGGACGTTGTTGTGTCTCAGGTTCAGCAGCGTACAGACGGCGCTGACGCAGCAGAGCTCTGAGCTGAAGGACACGCGCATGCTGACCGAGTTTCTAGAGCGAGTGGAGCTGGAGGAGAGTCACTACGGAACCCTGGGGCAGGTGCGTCCGCAGAACAACCAGGGGCCGGATTCACGAAAGCTTTCTTAAGAAAAAACTTGTGAAAGTTCTTAAGACAAACGCTAAGAAGTTCGTAAGAATGTTCTGAAACACAATTCTCGAAAGAAGTTCTCAAATATTCTCTTAAGAAAATCTTAGTTAGTTTCTTAAGTCTACGTTGCATTTTACCCTGTACCAAAACCAACGCAAGACAGATTCTGAATTTGTATGAAGTTATTTAGTTTAATCCACTCAGAGGAGCAAAACGGAAGAAAAACATCAAACCAGGCTTTTAAACAATTTAGTGGGGTGACGGACGAGGATGAGGATCAGCCGATGCAGCGTCCGATAAATTTAGGTGCTCACCTCGTCAACTCTCACAGCCTGAGACGAGGGAGGCTGTTGTAAGATTAAGAAAACATTTATGAACTTAATATTTTCAAGAATAACACTTCTTCTTAGAATTATTAAAAAAAGTTAAGAAAAGAAAATAAGAGAATTCAGAAGAAGTTATTTGAAGAATAAACATTTCTAGTAACTTTTGAATGAAGTTGAGAAAAAACAGGCATTTAAGAAGATTTTCTTTCTTAAGACACTTTCGTGAATCGGCTCCAGGACATTTCATTGAGTTGTGTGGATTCCTTTAGATTCAGAGGGTCTTTGGTGCTGATTAACTCAAACAAAGAGACACACAAGGTAAAGTTTCCTCACCCCAGATGGACTCTGAGGCCTCTGTAGTGGTCACAGTTCAGTTTTGGTCTTGTTCTCCACATGTTTTTGTTGTGCAGCCTCTGAAAAGCGATCTGGACTGTGACCCGTCGCTGCTGCCGCTGGAGGGGAGCAGACGCAGCCGGCCTGTGATGGAGAGTCTGGGAGACCCTGTGGAGGAGCTGAGGGAGGCTGTGGAGATGCTCAATGACACGGCGAGAGAAAGAGGACGCTCTCAGTCACATGACCACAGCATTCAGGAGCTCCACAGCAGAGTAAGTGAGAGTTATGGATTTTACAGCGCAAGTGCAATAATAACACAGCGTAACATCACAATACTTTCTCACAACACACACAGTGTATCACAATATTTAGATTGAATAATAATGATTGATAAATGATTAAGTTTATTTATATAGCATCTTTCTCTGATATGTTGTCTGTCTGCTGACTCTCTCTCCATAGCGGCGCTGATGCCTCAATGTCAGTAAATGTTTGTTTATCAGCTGTTCTTCTGTAGAGTCTCTGTTCTAGTGCGGTTCTGCGCTCTTCCTCACATTAACTGAGATCTTCCTCGTCTCCTCTTCTGTAAAGTCTCTGTTCTAGTGCGGTTCTGCGCTCTTCCTCACACTAACTGAGATCTTCCTCGTCTCCTCTTCTGTAGAGTCTCTGTTCTAGTGCGGTTCTGCGCTCTTCCTCACAGTAACTGAGATCTTCCTCGATTCCTCTTCTGTAGAGTCTCTGTTCTAGTGCGGTTCTGCGCTCTTCCTCACAGTAACTGAGATCTTCCTCGATTCCTCTTCTGTAGAGTCTCTGTTCTAGTGCGGTTCTGCGCTCTTCCTCACAGTAACTGAGATCTTCCTCATCTCCTCTTCTGTAGAGTCTCTGTTCTAGTGCGGTTCTGCGCTCTTCCTCACAGTAACTGAGATCTTCCTCGTCTCCTCTTCTGTCTTCAGTGTGAGAAATGAGGAACAGTCACTCTTCACTCCAAACTCTTGGGAACCTGGCGAGTTTTCAGATTTACAGATCTGCTGCAGCTCATTGTAAAGTGTTTCAGAGGAATCCGGGCAGAGTTACAGTTTCTAGACTATGAAGGACCAACTGGGTGAACCAGTCTGCTACAGCGCCACCCTGAGGCAGAGCAGTGCTGCAGCTCTAGTTAGTTAAGAACACCAGAGACAGAAGCTGATTGTGGGGAAGCAGATAAACAATCAGCTTCACTGAATCTTAGTCCTGCACTGAAAATTAGTCCCGTGCCGCAAGATATTATGGCGGTCCAGTAGGAATCCGCGGATGGGCAGTCCTTTACTATACTATCCCAAAAAGCGGTCTGTAGTTACGATGTCAAGACAACAAGAGCAGAACCCTTTTTGGTGCTATATAGAACCACATACAACACATTCTCCATCAATCTGAAGAACCATTTCACCATGCAAAGAACCATTTAAGCATGCAAAAGGTTCTTTAAGTGTTCATGGTTGTCTTTACTGAAGAACCCTTGAAGAACCATCTTTTTGAGACTGTTAGGAGTGAGAATGAGGGTTGAATCCATGAGTGCTGTGAGAAGCCAATCATGTTGATCAGTATCTTTGTCTATGATACTCTGTAACTTTGCTTTGCTCCTTCTCACTCCTCCACCCTTTTCTTCCTGTGTCCCAGCATTCCACTGTGGCGGCGCAGGTGGAGCAGTGTCTCCAGCGCTGCGCAGAGCTGACCGTAGACGTGCTGGAGATGGAGAGAGAGATGGCCGTCCGGTGTGAGCCAGAGCGCTGCGGTCTGGACGGCCTGCAGGAGCAACAGGACCAGCTGGAGGTGAGGAACAACCTGAGAACTTCACAGAGTAGAACAGCAAACTGAGGGGGTTTTCTAAGTTCAGGTGCCTTTCGCTTCTCCACCGCCTCCCCAGAGCAGACCACCTCTCCATTTCCAACTAGGGCTGGACAGAATAAGTCGTACTCAGGTATACGTTTGTTATGGAAAGTGAAAAGCCAAGGCGTTCTTTATTAAATATAAGTTCACTCTCAGAGATAAAGGTCCTAAACTGTCACTGGGTCAGTTCCCCTCCTGTCACTGGGGTGGTTCCCTCAAGGGTCCATCTCAGTACCTTTAGTCAGGGAACATAACTGAACCATAATCCACTGAAATGATATGTTCTAAGCTGTACTGACTCCACACACCCCGTCTCGTCTCCAGGCTTTTATTTTACTGTTCTGTTTAAAACATTCGGTTATGAAAAGGTACAAATACGAACTTTTCACCTGGAAACACTGATTTAAGGTTCACAATCAGACCTTAAAACCACTGTTGGAGCTTTGAGGGAACATTTACACTGTTTGTACCTTGATGAACCAGAACTGTACCTGCACAGAACCTTTATTACTAACAGTGTAAATACCTTCATTTTATTAGTCACAGGACTTTGAATATCTTAGTGATTCACAAATTTTAGTTACATACAACATAAAAAATAAAAAACATAGTTTGTTATGTTGTGTTATGTGATATTTGATTCTGAAGCATGTTTTGAAAGCCACAAACTACACCTTTCATCAGCACAGAAGAGCATTGATTGTTAATATATGGAAAATCTTTGATGATTCATCTCTAATATCTAAGTATACTGATAATTATCTAATAATATTATATCTGATGATATTATGAGGCTCTGTTGAGGGCGACGCTATCACATGCTCTGTATTAATAACATTTCTGATGGTTCCGTTATATATTACGGTACTATTAGTTATGCCTAAGAAAACCTACTTTTATAAGTTAATCGTGGCTTATTATTCTGGGATTTCCCTCTACTTTTAATAAAAACATCAACAACTGCCTTAAGCAGATTTTTTTGCATTGTGCAAAAAGTAAACAATATATAGGTGTAGGGCTGCTCGATTATAGTAAAAATCATAATTGCGATTATTTTGCTCAGTACTGAGATCGTGATTATTTAACATGATTACGCACTGACTTTGGAAACATTGTGGTCTTATTCAACTTTTAAAAACATTTTTAACATTTTTAAATATTATTGAACTGAAAAATAAATTCAAAAGTAAAAAAGAGATGAATATATACAATAAATGATGTAATATATATATATATATATATATATATATATATATATATATTGACCTGAATTATATAAAAATAATACATAAAAATCTATGTTGTAGTGCACTCCCACAACCTACTGAAAACTGCTAAACAAACATATAAAATCAATAAATAAAAATAGACGAGCTGAGTTTGGGCTTTTAGGGAGGGCGCTATAAAGGAAAGGGGTGCACTGGGTTTATAACACAAGACAAAACATGAGCATCATTGTAAAACGAAATGATTGTTTTATCTCGATTATCTTGTTTTCATAAACGCTGGAAGCCGAAATCACAATTAAAATAAAACTAAAAAATTTTCCTTTTATGTTTACTTGAAACGTGATTTACAGTATGTGTACGCTGTGTTATCAGCGCTTTTTGTGGTAAAGCCGTACAAACATTATGACAAAACGATCAAATGATCAAACGATACACTAATGAGGGGCCTTTTTGTTTTGAAAACAGTTGATTAAGAGTTGTTTTTAGAGCTGACGGCACTAAGCCGAGCGCTCCCTCGCACTCGGAGCAGGTCGTCTTGTTTGTGGTGATATAATGGTCTCCGGGTGCTGATGTAATGGACACAGCCTGACCTCTCTCTGCCGTCCCCCATGATGACTTCACTTCAACACATTGTTTCGAGAGTCTGTTTCCTGTTTTGGGCCAAACTTTCTCACATCCACAGAGAACCCGCCAGCCTCCTGCTCTGTTTGGGGAACATTAGAGCCCCAGAGAACCCAAACCCTACTTACATACAGACGTTGTAACATACACATAAATGTTAAATAACATATTTATAAAGGAGTTTTTGAGTATTTATGAACAGTTTATGCCGGTAATCACCAGATACCATAAGCTGAAGTAAATGACACTGGGTTTGTACTTTGACTCATTCAGAACTGCATAGAACAGATATAAACATCTAAACTACACCTTCATTCTAAGTTCTAAGATGTTTCGTTATTTTGTGATTAAGAACAAAACAGCTGTGCATCACTTTAGTTTAAGGTACTTTATGTCAATGCAATGTCATTTACTTAATATAACCTCTGTCATCTTGCGGTTACTAACAGTAGCGGGTCATAAGTCCTCAAATATTGTTTCATAAATATATTATTCAGTGCTTATGCATGTGTTATACAGTCCCTATGTAGGTAGCCTTCAAATAAACTGGTACCTTTCTGTCTAAGTAGGTTAATCTCACTCTTGTGTGCCACAACATACATGTAAAAAGTATGTCCTGTAAATAACTTTCTAGTGACCAGTAAATGGCCGATGTATTTTTCCAGCATTTTCCTTTCTGAGAAACTTTAATTAGAGATTTGCTCACTCTCACAAAGTAGCTTTACAGAAAATTTGAGTCCGAGCCCCAAATGACCATCACCGAGGGCAACAGGGCACTGTAAAAAATGCTGTCCATTTATTCATACTGGGAATTTAGAGTGATGCATTGGTTTACAGTAACATCCCAAACAATCCAATCTATCGTAATCTACTGCACTGTAAGTTCTGTATATTTTATTTGTAAAGCATATAAACAGTAAAACACTGTAACATATTTACAAGATATTTGCTGTAAATATACAACACCAGCAATTCGGCTCCAGAAAATTACTTTAAATTTTATGGTTACTTTTTTACAATGTGGCAATAAAAACTCCCGCAAAAAAAGAGGAACACTGAGAGGAACCAAGACTCAAAAGGGGAACCCATCCTCCTCTGGACCACACCGGATAGCAAACAATAACACAAGAGCAAAATAGCACAAGAGCAGAGAATAAGAGTTTACCATTAATATACAATATTGAATATAGAGAAAAGGAAAGAGGAAACCAGACAGTCATTGGACAGAAGTATTTAGACCAGTGTTGCGTCCAGTGTGAGACAGTAACAGAAAATGAGAGTGGACTGAGACCCAAACCCGCTGCCAGACCAAACTTCAGGCACAATTTAAACCAGAAAGCAGCTCAGCTTTATTTAGATTTTCTTAAAATTCTCCTTGTTAGTCGCTCAGTGAACTCTTATTTACAGGAGGGCGCCACAAATAAATGCATGTTAAAAATATGTAACAAATACATTTTTGGCCATTTTCATACATTGCAAAAATACATTTGATAAATACATTTGGAATACATTTTTTTCATATGGATGAAATTGTCAAGCCATGTTTTATTATATTTGTGTTGTTTGTTTTTAATTCAAACATTGCTGGATGTTTAGTGCAGCATCTTAGTATCATATAAACATTTGTGATAATTTGCACTCAAAATGAACTAACAGGGTTGCTGGACTTACAAACGGAAAATAGGTCAACATTAAATACATGAACTGTTTTCTACTAACTTTTTTACGTAAAATGGACAAAACTAATTCAAGTGCATATCGATGATTGGAAACTGTTGAGCCGAAGAGACTTCAGCTCTGATAAAACTGAAATAAAATGCACTAAAATTTTTCAGTTTTGCTCCATCAGCAGCTGAATTTTATGTTGCCATAACAAAGATAACAAAGCTCACTGACTGAGTGGAAATGTGCAGCATGACTGAATGAAGAGTCTAAGTTATCTTCAGGGTGTGTTCGCTGGACTGTCTGCTGATGATGAGGTCAGCTGTACTGTACGACACGCGATTCGAGCACATCACCGTGTGAGAATGTGTTTGGGTTCATTCCTTCGTGTGTGTGTATGTTTGTCAGCGTAGCGTTCCTGCGTGTGTGACAGTGTTGGGGTGGGACAGGGAGGCGGGAACTGTTCACTGTGACTCATATTTGGGCAGCTAATGTTTATCACATGCACTTTTCGGGTTCTATAGCGCTGACGGGCAGGAATGACCTAATCACTCATTCTGAAATAG